CCGTTTCAAACAGCACGTGTGCAGTGATTTGAGGCCGCGGCAAGAGGAAGCCGCCACGACGCCCACGTCCAGGTGACAACTGGCTCCTGGGTCTGAGGATGCTGACCCTCCCTCCCCGCAGGTGAGCCGGCCCAGAGGCCTCAGCCCGCCAGCGGCCCGGCTGAGGCCCAGCGAGGCACACGCTTTCCCCCCACTGCTCCCTGTCGACACAAGCCTTTCCCTCACACACCGAACTGCAGGTTCCTGAGCTGCCTGGGGGGGTGGGGAGCAGGCAAGAAAGAAGAAATCCTGAGGGGAGGGAAGAGGGGTCTATCTAACTTCAGCAAGACGCGCTCCGCTGAGCACCAAGCCTGCCTGATGTCCAGCTGTGGGGAAGTCTGAGTCCAAGGAAGAAAACAGAGTGTTGTTTACGCTTAAAATGCAGCCAACAGAGGATACGTGCTGGGTTCCAGGTGCCGGTGCCTCCCTGGGGGGGAGGATGCGCATGGGACACACAGGAGACTACCTGGACCCTCCCCCACCTCAGTGCGCTCAGAGACGCCACCAGTCAAGGCAGTGAGGCCTGCCCGCCTGGGGGAAGGGAGGGGCCCGCTAGGTGACCATCCACAGAACCCTCACCTCTGTAGTCAAAAGTGACCACGTGGTAACCGAGGGAACTCAGCACCTGAAAGTGAAAACAAACACCTGGGCAACAAAGCCGAGCACCGCGGGTGGGGGGCAGCGCAGCTCCACCCACACCCACCCCGAAAACTGGTCTGTGGGACGTCGGGAAGACGCCACCTCGCTGCCCCGCCCTCGTGGGGCCTCTCAGCACCCAGACGTCAGCAGCTGCTGCAGGCCACACAGAACGTGCAGGGAGGCCTCCCCGCGCTCCCATGGCCCTGGAACGGCACCCCCGCCTTCCGAGGGCCTGGCAGGTTGAGGCTGTCCCAGTGCGCCAGGGACTCTGACCACCCAGCGACCCAGGAGGAGGGACCCCACGGCGTGGAGACCACATCTGGGGACCCTGACTGCAACCCAGCATTGCTCGGATTTCGCTGAACTTTTCTCATTTTTAAAAGATCTCTCAGGATTACGGGCCTGCTTTCATGAGATCACTACCCACAGCCCCCACCCAGGCCCTTGGAGGGTGTGCCCAGAGCCACATGGAAGCTGCACCCACTGTGGCCAGTGACTGGAGGTATGCTCCTGTCCCTCCGGAAGAGAGTTGGCCCAGGCCACACTTCCTGCCAGCCCCCAGCCCAGCAGGGCCACACCCTCTGCTCCCGGTGCAAACCTTTCTAGGAGAGACTAGACGGGAGGGCAGCTTTTCGGCCACTTCCCTTCCCTGTCTGGAGCCAGTTCACTCCAGGAATAAGCCCTCCGACAGCCCAGAGCCAGCCATGGGGTGCAGGGCGGAGAGTAGTGTCCACAGGGTGCACAAGTCCCCGTACGTCTGCCTTGTCCCCTCTGCCTGCATGTGATGGGCGTGATGGCCCTGGACGCGGAGCCACGGCCCACGTCAGCTTCAGGACCACACGCCCAGTGATGACAACTACACAGAGGGGACGGTCTGTTCCCCACAGGAGCCCCCACGCCCAGACACCTGCTGGTGCTTCCACTACGTTGGCCTGGCATCTGTTTCAACTGCAACCTGCACCTGGTGGACACGAGAAACCTCTGTGTGGGCAGAATTCCGAGCCCAACCCCAAGGAAAGGGTGCCTCCCTGGCCTCTCAGTCCTCTGGGACTCTTGTACATGCATGACCCAGCTACACAAACAATTTCAAACGACTTTTGTGTACTCTGCCAACATCTGGCATGTGATTGACAAAGTCCATTCATTCCCATCTTGGAAACCATCCCCAAAGGCAGCCACACGGGAAGCACTCCACAGTGAGACGTCCGTAAAAGGCAGCTGGAAGATCAGCAATGATCAGCTCCCAGAATTATCAGGGGGACCCTCTTCTGCTCACGCCCCCTGGAAGGGACATCCAGGAAACAGCAGGCAAGCAGTGCTCTCTGCAGCACGCCGTGCGGGCCACACAGCCCGTGGGACCTGCTCCGACCACCTGTCCACTGTGTGGACCCTTCTGTCTGTCACAAACTGTGGGCACCGCTCTGTCCATCCTAGCCCGTGTGCCACCCTCACCTACCTTGTACAGCTCCACGCGGTGGTCGCCTCCCCTAGGTCAGGGCAAGGAAACAAGAACAGCGTTAGTGCACCTTCCCACTAAGGAGGCCCAGGACCAGCCCTGGAGCACCTGGCCTTTTGTGCTCGGTCCCCAACCTTGCACAGGGAGAGTGGTGGGCGGGTGGCCTCCTCCTCGGGGCACCTATGTGGCTCCCAGCTTGCCTCTGCCATGTGGTGCCAAGCAAGGGACAGTCTAGGCTCCATGGGATGTTTCTTAATTATCACCTCACGTTTGTTTTGACCTGGCAATGCAGACCTGCTGTACAAACCCCGGAAGACATGAGGGCCCTCAGCTCCCCAGTGTCCAGGACCACACAGAGGGCAGGCGGGAGCACTTCCTTGCCGGCCCACACACCAGTGGGACGGGCCACAGGCACCTCCTGCCTCAACCTTTCCACCTAAGGAGCCGCGGCCGGCTCAGAACTGTCCTCTCGGCCGCTCACACTCCTCACTTCGTGGTCACTTCGGCCCTGACCCACCTGCTGCAAAGTGAGGTTCGGAGCTGCAGCAGCCCCAACCAGCGTCCTCCCACATGCGTGCCCGTGGGTGGGGTGCTGGCGAAGGTGCCACCATGACCCCACGGCTACTGCGGCTCTGCCAGCCCCTGCCCAGCAGACACGTGCTGCGGTGGGTGCCACAGCAACACGACGTCACCCCTGCACCTCTTCCTCCTCTTTCTGCCCAGAGGCTGCCCAGCTGAACTGAGGACAGACACCAAAGCGGGGACAGGGCTGCCTTGGGAGAGGGAACGGGGAAAGCGTGTGGTGGGCAGGCTCACCCTCACCAAACTTCCCAGCTCTCTGTCTTTTTTATAATGAGCGCCTGGCCATTTCAGGAATGTGTGCTCGGGGAAGGCGTGTCCCTGGGGGAGGCAAGAACAAGATGGAGGAGAAAAGCCAGTAAAACCCAGAAACAAACATTCAAACGACCGAGTCTCAAGACCAGAAGGAAATAGTGAAACACTCTGCTGTCTCTATAAGAGGTCATTGTGGCTCTTTCTTAAACTTCCCCAAAACTGAGCCTAAGCAAGAGGAGGGATTCAGAGTGTGACACAGTGTTGGGGGCAGCCGGGGGTCTGGGTCTCAGGGAGCCAGGGCTGCCGCCGTCCTGCCCGGCGCCCGCCCTGGGCAGTCCGCGGAGCATGGGAGGGGGCAGCAAACCCTCAAGTCACACGATCCTGCCATCCTGCAGTTACGGGCACTTTGTTACCATGTGACTGGCACTGCTCACAGTGAACTCCAAACTTCCCTCACTCACAGAAGGAGGCTCCAGGAGATGTTTGGAGCCACCTGCTCTTTGAAAAGCAGAAAGAGAAACCCGCCACAGCTCGTCCCGGACCCAGGAGAGAAGGCTGCCAAGTGTGTCTGAGTCAGAGCTCAGCGCTCTGCTCTCTCGGCCCAGGATGTCCTCAAGGCCCCGGCTTCCTGGGACGTCCTGCCACGTCCTCTGGGCAGCCCTGTCCAGACACCGGCCGTGGCCTGCTTTCCCTCCAGAGAGGCTGGCGTCGTCCTCCTTGCTGCCTGTGAAGTGACCGCCCGCAGCCCAGCCCTGCGGCGCCTGCCTCCTCGCTAGCTCTCGTGCAACCCAAGGAAGCGGCAGCAACAGGGACGCTCTCTGGGGTTTCAGGCGACGCTTGTTCAGAAAATGCCTCTTCTCTCACCCCACCAGCTCCCCTGCAGACTCTCAACAAAGCCAACCATGTGGGCTGGAGGGGGCCTTCTTTAAACAAGGATGGGCTCCAGTCCCCGCTAGTCCAAAGGATGCCTGTTAAACCCCCCGAAGAGCATCTGGGGTAACTGGGCGAGGGCTTCATCTGCAGAGACACGGGTGCCTCCTCCACGGCCCAGAGGCAGGTCTGGCATCGCAAGCTCCCGGCTGGACACACGCTGGCCCGATAGCACGGCAGGGCAGCCCCCGAGGACGAGCCTGTCCCTGCATGCTCAGCTGGGGTCTCTCTGCGTGGGTCCCCCGGCCTTTGGCCATCCCTCCTTTGATGTTGCCCTCAGCACCCCCGCAGGAGTGTGCCTCCCCCTCCAGTAGCGGACGCCTGCCAGTGAGAAAGTGTCCTCAGACCAGGATGGCAGACGGCACCGCCTGCCCACTGAGAAGCCTTGCTCCTAAACCAGGAAGGAGGACACCCGCTCTGGCTCAGGCTCTGGGGCCCTCCGACAGACGCAGCTGCCTCCACCCCACCCCACCCCAGGGGGAGCTTCAGACCAGGGGTTTCTGGACACAGCCGCCCACAGCTGCTCAGCCGGTGGCTCCGAAGCAAGGGAGGCCCAGGCCCTACTGCACGCAGCGCTGCTGTGCTCTGGGGCTGTGGGAACACGGCTTGGTGTCAGCCTCCCCAGGCCCAGAGGGACTCCGCCGCCCCCAGCTCTCAGGCTGCCCACAGCCCAGGCGCTCGGGCCCCTCACCACGGAGAACCCTGCAGGCAGGACACGTCTCCTCCTCACCTGGTGCCCGCGTTCCCGTGCAGGTACAGGATGATGGGGTGGCTGGAGGCCAAGGCTTCCTCGTACCACAGCTGGTCCTTCCCTTGGGCATTTTTCCACCAGAGCGTGGGGACGGTGTGCCTGAAGCAGGAGCAGAGGGAGCAGACGTCGGGCGGGGTGATGGCGGGCGGGAGGAGCAGAGCTGATATGTTCTGACTCGCAGACCCCTCCCCCGCCCCCCAGCCACAGACGCTGCATATGCAGCAGCGACCAGGGGTGTCAATGGGAGGCCCTGAGCGGTCGGACCCTGTGTGGCCGGGCCCAAGCAGCACTGGGCACTTCACAGGCACAGGCTGAGCAACACTACGCCCCCTCAAACCTCCCATTTAAATCATGACCCCTTGGAGGCAGCACGACGCTGCCGTGCACACCAACTCAGCGACGCTGGTCTTCGCGGGTGCAGCCGGCAGAGCCGCCCGAAGCCGGCCTGGTGCTGACCCACCTCTCCAGGGGGACCCCAGGCCCACACGGCAGCCCAGACTCCTCCACGCCTGGCCAGGCACACGGACACTTGGTCTAGCTGGCCAAACCCTCCTGCAGAGGGTGCTCTGGTTAATCTTAACTCAGGACACAGCAAAGTCACTGTTAACTGGGCAGGGTCTGATTCAGGAAGGGTGCTCTGTAAAACCTCAACTTCATTCAAGGGCAGACTTACAAATATTACATAGCCAATTTCTTCTCTTCTAGGTCTAAGTGTCAGCAGCTCATTTCTAACAGCTTCTCTCTGACCTGGCTCAGAGGATCAATCGTGGGTGGTTCTGACCACTGCAATTATCACCCTCCAACCATTACAAACCTACGACACAGAAGGCACATTTCAAGGTGCGGGGAGCTGGTGAGTCCCAGAGGTCAGCCTACTTGAAACCTGGAGCTCCTGATAAAGGCCCAGGCAGTGCCCAGGCGGCTGTGGGCCCATCCCTGGGCTCCTCCCGCTGCCATGCTGGGAAGGAGCTGACGGCTCTCCCCAGCTCCTCTGCTGAGGGAGGACCTGTGAGGGGCCGGTGAGGGAGCTGCTGCCACCCAAAGGTCCCCACCACCATCACAGCAGCGGCAGAGAGAGACTCACGTGGTCACCACCAACGCCGTTCCCAGGTAACCGCCCACAGACACCCGCCCCGCTCTGCTCACGGGAGAAGGCCCGCTGGGCCTGTGTCTTCAAAGCGCCAGGCCCACCCCCAGCACAAGGGCAGCCAATCCCCCGACAGGTCTGAGCCAGACACAGGGCTCTGACTGGAGATGGAAATGCGAGTGGCCCAAAGGCCCTGCTGTAAATGCTCCGCTAAGGCAAGTCAGAAAGACCAGAGGCAACCCTGGTCTCAGCACTGAGAACTGGAGCCTGCCTTCCCTGCAGGGCCGTCACCCAGGACGCCTGCACGGGGGCACCACCCGAGCACTTCACCCAGAACCTTCTCACAGCTCTGCTGAGACAAAGGCAGCGATTCAGAGCTGTTCCAGGGGAAGGAGAGAGGAGAGGCCACAGGAGAGCCCTGTCCACAGAAGAATAGATCATACTCCGAGGAGACACAAGACGTCACAGGACTCAGGTAGGTCCAAGCTGAAAGCACAGCTAGAAAGCAAACACTAAGAAGACACAAATGCCACCCCATCAACGATGGAGAGAGCCACTCCCAACCCCTCGCCAGACGGGGAGCTCAAGCCTGCCCTCGCAATTCCCGGCTTGCACTCTCCTTTTCTAGCTTCAACCCCCCGGAAACAAGGCTTTGTGCAGAGCCCAGCTGGCCCACAAGGCCTTCGCCGTGCAAGCCCTCGGAGCAGAGCCGGTGCTGCTGTCTCGTGCTCCATCAGCATCCAATACAGCCGAGCTCTTTTCTTGGAAACAGCGGGAAAAGATAAAAACGGACAAGCACCAGTCCAGAGCCTGCTGTCAGGACAACACCGGACACAAGACACGGGCCCTCCTGCCCCTTGGAGAGGCCCAGAGCCAAGGGGTCCAGAGAACCCTGAAGCCCTGAGGGCACACGCTCACCAGACGCCAATGGTCACGTCTTCCTCTGGCTGGAGGTAGTAATTACAGGTGTGATTCAAACCTTGATCCTGCGGCTTTTTCAAGTCGATGAAATAGGGAACCCGCACTGTGAGGGACAAAGAGGTGGGAACCGGGATTAGTGGGGTGGACAGACATATGCACACAGCACAGGTGATGCTCTCAGAGTGCCCAGGACTCCCCCAGTGCCATTCTGCCAGGCGCACTGGCCCTCCGGCCGCAGGCTGGGTGGGCCAAGTGTATCTACATGCCCTTCAGCAAGGTCGGCGTCCGAGAAGAGACGGACTGAAGGTGGTCTGAAGAGTGAGAAGATGCCAAGTAGGGAAGGGAGGACTCTTGGGAGGCCTGAGGGTCAGCCTGGCACGGCAGGGGGTGGAGGCAAGGAGGCCAGCGAGGCCTGCAGAAGCAGCTCAGGTAAGTGAGCTACGCCCGAAGGCTGGAGCCAGGTGCTGGGGGAGGGACAGCAGGAAAGGTGACAGATGGACGTGTGCCCTCGACCTGGGCCAGCAGGCTTGACAACCACCTGAACGTGGGTGTGAGCCAGGTCTGTGGGGCCCTGAGGTTTCCAGTGCTGTCACTCAGCAGAGTACAGCCGAAGAGAGGAGTGGGTGCAGGGAGAGGAGGACCCACGGACCCCATCCAGGGTGCAGGGACGTCGAGGGAATGGGACAGCAGCTACTCGTCAGCCCTGAATGTAACAGGTGACCTGCCAAAGGGCAAATGCTGGATGAAGGCGGTGCCCCCACAGCCTTCAGACAGAGGCGACTTAAGTCCTTGGACCTGGAGGAACATCATTAATTATAGGGAGTGAGACAGCAGGGAAGTAGGTAAGACCATCCTGCTGCCACGCGATCCCATGTCGTTGCGCAGACAAGCAATGCTAGCGCCAGCACGCACGCCGAGTGTGGCTTGGGAAGGGGAGAGGCACGCCAGGCTGCTAACATGGGTTTCAGGTCGGGGGGGGGTATGGAGGAGGGCGTCAATCTTCCCTTGTACACCACTGCAGTTTTATTGCTTGTGGTGAACACGATTTTTGCAGTTTTAAGTTATATTTAGTTGAAAAATGAAAAACTGATTAAAAAAAAACAAACCTAAAATCTTGAGGTGGGATTTGCTCATATTTTATAAAACAGCAATGCCCAGAGGGGGTTGGGGACAAAGGGCAGAGTGGTCCTGACTTTCAGCCAGCCCCACCTTCTCCCAGGAAGTCATGTGACTCTTTGGTTTTCCTTGGGGAAGGCAGTAGTTTCCTTAGTAACCTACACAGCCATGCGGCGCAGGAGCCCAACGTGGTCACCTCCCTCGCTGCCCCCTCCCCAGCCTCGCCATCAACATCCTGCCCCATGACCTTTGTGCTGCTGTCCTTCCTCCAGAATGCTCTCCCTACCTTTCGACTCTCACTTCCTCAAATGTCCCCACCACTCAGGAAACATTTGCTGAAAAAATGAAACAGCTGACTTCACGAGGACATGGGTTTACACACGTGCTCCTTCCCCCAGCAAATTTCCTGAGCAGCTCAGACCACACGGGCAGACAAATCCTCCCCCCAGGGCTGCTTCTGAACCCCCAGCTTCTTAATCCACCTCTTTCCCAAGAAGCAGCCTACATTTAAAAACTTTAATATTACTTTCTCTCAAGAAAGACGGCACTCAGAGGAGGTGGCATCATACTTGCTGGTGCTCCTGGGGTGCTGCCACCCAACCCCCCACCCCACATAGCACCCGTCAGGCGGGGCGACTGCTGACTCAGCCCCTGCCCCTCGCGGCTCCATGCGGTGAGCAGGATTTGCAGCCCGCAGCCTGACTCCAGGGCCCACACTCATGGCAGGCAAACCGTCTGATCCTGGTAGGCCTGTAAAGCGCTTGTTAACCGTCGAACTGTGTCCCTCAAAACAGGGGGACGCTGAAGTCCTAACGCCGAGCACATCAGAACGTGATCTCATTTGGAAACAGGGTCTTAACTGAGGACATCAAGCCTAGGGAAGGTCGTTGGGTAGAGCTGGTGTCCTTATCGAGAGGGGGAACTAGAACACAGAGACAGAAAGGACAGAGGGAAGACAACCCAAAGCCACAGGCAGAGGGCAGCGGTGTGACGGAGGCAGGGACTGGACAGTGCAGCTACAAGCCAAGGACACCGGCCACCCCCCGAGGCTGGAAAAGGCAAAGACGGCGCCACCCACTGTCTCAGAAGGGCACGGGCACCAGGCTCCTGAAGCTCCAGAGGTGGGACAATGCGCTGCTCCTGGGGTCGCAGGCCCCCGTGCATATCTGCTGTGCTGTGTACGACGTTCTCAGAGGCTGCGGGCCTGGTCACTGGGGGCACCTGCTTTGGACGCAGGCGCCCACCCTGCCACTCCTGTGACCTTGCTCCGGGCCGTGGGGGCTGGGGCTGCAGCACCAGGTGCCTGCCCAACATCTGACGCGGGCGGGAAATGGCTTCCACAGCAAGACTCTGAACGCCCACCTGCACCAAGACTCAGCCAGTTCTGCTACTGAGGCTGGAGCCCCCGTGCCAAACAGCAAGGGGGTGCCTGCAAGGGCTGAGGCTCTCTCCTAGAGAAGGCAGCCATGCTGCTCACACGCCGCCCCAGAGTTCCGAGAGGACCCCTGCCCGTGCAGAGTGTCTCATGAGGGTTAGCAGCTAATCCCGAAAGCTTCCACGCCAGAGGAACTGGAACTGAGAAGCTCAGTTCTACTCTAGGACCACCTCACCCGACAAGGCCTGTCTTCCAGGTCACTTTTACTTCTGTTTTAGAAACAACAGTAGAAAAGGGCACAGCGACTCTGCCGAGTGCAGCAGATGTCGCCCGTGTGCTCCCCTCCAGCTAGTGGGCGGTGCCCGGCCAGTCCTGGGGCCACTGCTGGTGTAAGTGAGCACAAATGCCTCAAGGCAGAGGAAAGGGGTCCAGGGGTGCAGGGGACCTGGGCTGGCCAGAAGGGCGTCTCGCATCTGCCTGGGCCAGAGCACGGCTCACTCCTGCTCATCTCCTGTGTGGTCACAGCCCTTGGACCCGTGACACTGAGATCCTGCCTGGAGCCCCTGCTCCCAGCCCATGGGCAGCCCACCGAGGCGGGGGGTGGGGGTGGCAGGGGCAGGAGCCAGGCGCCCGGGACAGTGACCTAGCTCTTCATGGCTACCTGTTACCAGCTCCGCCCACACAGGGCCGGAGTGCACAGCCCAGGAACCTGGTACACAGGCTCCTGCAGCTGCTGGGACCCGCCTTGGCTTTCTCCTGCTTCCCAGCTGTGCGTTTTCCACCCCCTGACCACGTGGTCATTTACCAGCAACCACAAACATCATTGGGGGCGACTGGGAAAGGACCCTGCACAGACAGTGCTCAGTGAACAGTGAGCAAATGTGTGAAGGGACAGAAAACAGCCAGTCTGGTGGGGTGAGAGGCCGGGACCCCTGGGCCGCAGAGGACATGTCTGACTGCCTGCGGGCTTTAAACACCGGGCTCTGCGGCACCCCAGGCACAGGCACCCCGCCCTGACACACGGAAGCAGCAGGGTAGCAACAGTGAAGGGCTGGGAGGGCCCTCTGGGTTTTATCCAATTCCAGCTCGACCTGAAGACAGGGAAGAAAGCTGTGAGGACCGACAAGCACTGCTAAGGGGAAGGAAACGGAGGAGGCGCAAGGACCGACGTCCCGGGAGAGTGGTAGGTGACTGGCTGGACTTCGGCTTTAACACGTAAGGAGTTCATACGTTAAACGTGATCTCCAGAAAAGGCCCACGGCAGGCAGCGTGCAGAGAAGAGCACCAGCCTCTGGCCTGAAGCATCCCTTGCTGCCCAGCGGTGGCTCTCGATCCCAGGGCAAGAGGCTGCGACAAGGGAGCCAGACTTCGAGACCACAAAATCCTCTGTCACCCACACAGCTGGGGGATCGACTTTTGAATGCAAGTATTGAAACACACATCTACTTACACTTACAGGTTCAGACACCGATGAAAAGACCGGCAGGAAACAGTACCATGACAGTGATTTTCCCCGAGCAAGTTTCATTTTCTGCTTCAAATCATTCAGAGCTTTTCAGTTCATCTTTTGTTTTTAGGAAAAGCTTGTATGTTTTGCTTATGAAAATACATGTGAAGTAGAATGATGCCTGAACCATAGACACAAGCCTTCGCCTAGAGCTCATTTATCTGATTTACAGATTTAGTTTCAGATAAATTTGCTATAAATTTATGAACATTTTAATCAAGTTTTGGGCCCCAAAAGATAGTTGTATTTCCTTCAATGCCCAACTGGAAATGCACAGCTCATGAGTCACATCCTGAGGAGACAAGAACCGAGGTGCCCCCCATACACACAGACCCTCTAGCAGTGTGAGATGAAACTGCTTAGTCACTAGAGGATGGCCTGGAGGCCCCCACCTCCTCCACAGGGGAGGGCACAGACAACTACCCAACACCCACATCTCCCTGGGGGCACTGGGCAAGCCTCACTGCCCTGGGGTCCTGCCAGGAGAACCCAGGAATATTCTGCCTTGTCATTAGGAAATCAACAGAGCAAAACTTGTGGGCTGTCTGAAGTAGCCCAAATGACTGATCTAAAGAAAGTCAATTCAATTCAAATATCTGCTGGGACCCTTCTGTGTGGCAGCCCAGAGAGCAACAGGCCACCTGCTGCCAAGGCCTCTGCCCAAGGCGCCCGGAAGTGCCCGAGCCTGCGCTGGGGGAGGCTGTGTGGTCAGTCTCAGGGCTGCTGCATCAGGAAACGTGTTCCTTCTCATTAGTGGCCGAAACTCAGAGATGATAAATTCCTAGAAGTTCAGCTACATTTCTGTTAGAAAAAATCAAATGTGTCTTAGTGTACAACATGTGTTTTACACTTATTTTAAGACAGCCAAATAAAAACCTTATTTTAGATTTGTGAAGCCTTAAATATCGATCTTACGATTTCTTTTCCTCCTCCCAACTGCTCCTCTTTAGAGCGGAAACTCCCTTTCAGCAGTGACGTCCACGTCCTTGGGACCAAGCCTCCGACAGACTTAACAGCCGTGTGCTGATGCACAGGTGCGTCTACAGAGCCCGTGGCACTTGTGTCAGTACGGATGAGGCCCCACCACCTCTCGCCCTGCCCACCCCAGGCCAGCTGCACAAGACCCGTCACACCGCCAGCCGTCCTCTCCCAGGTCTCCAGGTACTGCCCCTCCCATCTCTCCACCAGCTGCCCTGTTGCCTCCACAGCACAGCCCAGCTTCCCCAGCCTCCAGCTGCGCACACACCAGTTCACACCCCATTGCTACACACCAGCACAACCCAAGAGCCACAGAGCCACCTCACCTGCTCTGAAAGCGCCCCACACCCGACCGAAGGTCACCACTCAGGTGCCAAGCACCATGTCCTAGCCTCCAACCTCCAGCACCCGCAGAGGCAGCCCCTTCCCCTCCGCTGTGTCTGGTAGGTGTAAAGTGATGCTTCTTAAAAGGATTATTCTTGGCAAACACGGAGCTTCCACTTTCTAAGCTCAATATGTCCACACTTTCTCCTCCCACTGGCCCAAAAGTAAAAGTGAAAAAACCCCCAAATTTGGAACACATAAGGTCCAAGTTAACTGAAGGAGACTGTAACACCTCAAAGCCAGCATATAATTCCACAACAACCAAGGTATGTTAGGATTTTTCAAAGGAAAAAACAGATTTTTTAAAAAAAGTAAAAAGGCCTAATTATTTTTTAAGGCACTACACTTTCCAGTGGTCATCTTTCCCAAGGACAGCTAACCTCCGAGCCTGCACAAGTGACAAGGCATCTCCAACACGACATCTTCATAATGCTCTCCACATTGTCAGTATTTCTGCCCAACTCAGCTGAAAAAGAGCCCCAGCCATGCAGCAATCACCTGCGCTCATGAATGCCAGCCCTGGAAAGCAGTGCCCACCTTACAAACATCTTGTGACAGGTAAGGGGCACAGGGAACTTTCTGGACAACAAAAAGGTTCTGTATTTCCTGAGCTAAACGATGGAGATATAAATACATAAATTACCATGAAAACGAACTCTTACTAAAATTAAAGGAAAAATGAACGCACAGCACTTACCGAAGTTCAGGAAAATCAGCTTGGCCTGTATCCCAGGACACAGTTTGACGAGAACTGGAATGGTCAGGTACAACCCCACAACACACAGGAGTATCTTCCTCAGTCGGAAGCACAGGCTCTTCCGCCTGCAAGAGAAAAGCAGTGAGCAGGTCAGAGGCGCTCGGCTTCTCTACTTTTATCAACAGCTTTGATCCAACAAGAGTCAGTGATAAGAGCGGCCCCTCCACCTGCTTTTGTCTTTTAATTTGCACCTAAAACTCTACTACAGGATAAAATGTCTTTCCTGAAAGCCAAGGAAACAGTCCTGCTGACGTCCTAGTAACCCTTGGGATCCAAACACAGCACAGACGTCAGATCCCCAGAAAGTGCCCAACTGTTGGTAGGGAGCTGCAACCTCCTCTCAGGAGAGCGGCTGCCTGGGGGCATCTGATGACCCTCTGCTGGCAGGCGCAGGCGCCGGCCACCCGTTAGCTCCCTGCAGGAAGCACGCGCTACACAGAACCTGCCCAACCAGGTCCTGGGAGGGAGCAGGGGGCTGAGAACAAGACGTGGCCTTCAATGCCTGTTCTCGCGTTTCCGCCCGCGTTCCCTGCAGAGGCCCTTTCTCTGGGCTCCTCGGGCCAGGTCATCACCCCAGGTCTCCAGACCCTCTTCTAATATATAACCAGCCCCAAGACTTTCTCATCCTGCTCCCCATCCCCTTTCAAAAAACGTCCCTAGTCAAGAGACTCTTAAACTTCTTGGACTAAGGGCCTCTCTACAACTAAAAAATTAAGCTTCTGTTTATATGGTTTATGTTTATTACAATTTGTTTTATGAGAAGTTAAAAATAGTTTTAATACCTATTATTATCTAATAATAACAATACACAACCCATTACATGGTAATATAATTAACATCCGTTATAAAAACATTCTCCAATATGAAAAATTTTAGTGAGGAGACTGGCATTAACATTTTTATAAATTTCTTTAAGCCAGATAGCTTAATAGAAGACAGATGGATTCTCATTTCTGCATCTGCATTCAATCTGCTACAGAACCATACATTGTGGAGCACCTGGAAATCTCCTGAAACCCAATGAAAGAACGAAGGTGAAAAAGGCAAACAGCATCTCAGTGTTATCATGAAATAGCTCTGACCTCAAGGACACGGTGAAGGTCCTGGGGACCCCACGAGCCTCGAGCACACATGGAAACTGCTGCTTTAACTCTGCATACCAAGTCTCAACCTTAATGGGGCTAGTTATTTGGCTCTGGACTGCTTCGAAAAACAGTACTTAAGATGCTTTAAAAAATGCACCTTGAACTGCTGACACAAGCAACAACACAGAAGAGCCTCAAAAGCATTGCGCTCAGTCAGTCAGACAGATATATGCAATGACACACTGTGCAATTCCATTCATCTAAAAACCTACAGAAGGCAGAACTACGACAGGGACAAAGGAGCAGAACAGCGGCGGAAATACTCTGCACCTGGACCGCAGCCGTGGACAAACGGTTGTGCATGCAGGTAAATTTACAGGTAAATAAGACCTCAGTAAAGCTGAAGACAACATGCACACCTAACAATGTAATCCACTCACTCCTGGACCAGGCTCATCCAACGGCAGGAAGCAGAGCACCTGGCACCCCTTGGGCAGGGGCCACAGGGCAGCAAAGTGTGCCGCCCGCACCAGGGCTGCGCTCTCAGCGCCGCGGGGCGGGCAGAGGGCTGTGAGAGAAGCACCTGCTGCAGGGCGATCTGACCTGGTCTGGGTTGCCAGGGAGGGGCCACTGGGTAGAAACACTAACTCAGGAATACAGGACTTAACTGGATGATGCAGGAGACATTTAAGACAGCATCTTAAATTCCATGCACAATCCCTGTGTTCAATGAGGAAAGGCATATAATACTGTGGTAAAAGTGCTGACTCTGGAGTCAAATAATCTGGTCCAGCATCCAACCTGCCACTTACTAGCTGTGCCATCTTGGGCAAGATACTTAAACTCTCTGAGACTCGATTTCCTCCCTGGCGGTGGGGACAGACATGCTGCCTCTTCTGTGGGGCTCCTGGGAGGACTACACACAACAGTGCAGGCAGAGTGTACACAGGAGGCCCTGGCACCAGGCCCGTGATATTTCAGAGCCGACACCACCATCTTTTTACCCTTCTCAGAGAAAAGCGCAGGGTCTGCGCACAACGAATGACCTAACGAATGGAAGGCTGGGTGTGATGCAGAGGTCCAAAGGGGCCAAGAAGGATCCAGGGCTTTACTCTGAGAGAAACCAGAGAGCCCATAAGAACTGAAGAGCCTGCCGTCAAACACAGCCACCGACGGCCTGGTGCAGAGCGGGCGCTGGCGTCCTCTGCTCCAGCCGCCCTCGGCCACGCTTGTGTCCCTCCCACAATGTGCCCACGCGCCCTCTGGCGCCAGCTGTGAGGTGTTCAGGTAGCTTGAGATTTTATCCCTGAAGAAAGGGAAGCAAGTCCACACCAAGACGTGTACAAAACTGTTCGTGGCAGCTTTATTCACAACACCCAGAAACTGAGACGACTCGAATGTCCATCAGTGGGTGAGCAGATAAACTTGGTCTGTCCTCAGAATGGAACACTGCACAGCAGCCACAGGAGCCAGCTAAGGACACACGAGCCACGTGGACGAAGCCCAAGGTAACTGTGCCAAGGGAAAGATGTCGGAAGATGACCGGATCACCAACAGGCGCACCTACCAATGCTCCTGTTTGTTAGCAGAATTAGTATTTTCCCTCCTGTGCTATTTCAGGGTGATGCTTCCTCTGTGGACGGTGGCTTTCATCTCTGTGTTTTGAAACAGTGTACACAAGATGAAAACCACCTGCTCCTTATAAAGTTAAAAGAATTATGAAAAAGGGATAAGGAGAATGGAGGTTATGAACAATGTTTAGGGGAAAAAAATCACTTTCCTCACTTCTTCCTAAGCATAGCCCCCGAGTTTACAATGGTGTGAAAGCTATACACATTCAGCAGAAACCGCACTTGGAATTTTGACCTTTTCCAGGGACAGTGACATGGGGTGCAACCCTCTTCTCGTGACGCTGGGCAGCGGGCGCAGTTCCCAGTCAGCCACGTGGTCCAACCTCTGCATGGACACTCACCCTGCTTTTCACTTTCAGAGCCACATTCAAGAAATTACATGAGATATTCAACATTTTATTGTAAAACAGGCTTTGTGTTAGATGGTTTTGCCCAACTGTCAGCTAATCCAAGTGCTGTGTGAGCACCTTTAAGGCCGGCCAGGCTCAGCCATGGTGCTCGGTGGTCAGCTTTATCAAATATATCTCTGACTGACGATTTTTACAACTTACGACAGGTTTATCAGTACGTAAGACCGCTGTAAGTCAAGGAGGATCTGTAACTCTCACCTCCTTCTTGTGACAATTTGTTAGAATTCTCAGGAATTCCCTTGGCTGCAGTCTTCACTGGTCACTGCTCGTAGTTACTAGCCAGAAGTGTTCGTGGTTCTTGACGGCTTCACTGCAGGAGCGAGCGCTTCCCGCACGGCCAGGGAGGGAGGCACCTTCTCCGTCCAGCACCGCTGCAGCCTGGTGTTGCCACAGAGGCTTGTCTCTCCACACTCCACACGTCCACGTGCACAGGCACAGCGTTTGCCTGCACAACGATTCAGTGCGCTTTTCTTCAAAGGTTACTCATATAATCAGTCCCATAAACAGATCATCAGACTTATTTGCCATGAAATAAAAATGAATTGTAAAAATACATACAATGAATGGACTTACCAGACAGCCCGGCAGTTGAACGTCCTGGGCATTTAGTCATGAGAATTAAAGACTCACTTTCGAGCAGGAACTTACACACAAATGTTTACAGCACCTCTATGCACAACAGTCTCAAACTGGCAACAACGCAGATGTCGCAACAGGCAAACAGATAAACAAACCATGGACCACTACTCCGCAGCTAAAAGAGATGAACCACCACCCCCGTGCCAACCTGGGTGAACTTGAGAATTACGCTGAGGGGAAGGTCAATCAATCCCTAAAGGTTATACATCATGAGTCCATTCATGTAACAGTCTTGAAATGATGAAGTTATAGAGATGGAGAGCAGATTAGTGGTTGTCCAGGTGTAGCAGTGGGATGGGGAAGGCTGGGTGGGTGTAAAGGGTGTCACAGAGAGGCTGGTGGTGACGGTACAGGTGAGGTCCTGCGATGAGACTGCAGAGCATCTCTCACACACACACACACACACACACACACACACGCAGTGAGTGCACATAAGTTGGAGAAGCCTGAACAAGCTAGGCGGACCGCATCAGTGCCAACTTTGGGGGCTTGACTGCACTATAGCAGTGTAAGGTGCTGCCATGGAGGGAGGCTGGGGAGAGGAGCACTGGATGTCCCTGAACATCTCTGTGCAACGTCCTATGAATCCATAATTACTTCAAAATAAAAAGGTAAAAATAAACCAAAAAATTGGAAAGTTGCTACATCTAAAACTATAGTAAATAAAACATAAGTAGACATTAATAAGTCTGATCAACTTGTTGGATTTCACGTGTTCTCTCCATTTGTCCAACTAAATACACGCTCCATTTTCACATATGAGGAAACTGAGTCCCAAGGAGCTGACTTGCCCGAGCCTGCAGGGCAGGCCTGACTGACCTCTGCCCCTGTGCTCCTGTGGGCCTACTGAGGCATCCCCAGCTCTGCTGACCCCTTCACCCCGGCCTCCCTTTCTGGAGACGAGGCCCAAACTAGAGGCAGGAGGTCCAGAGCACCCACACACAATCTGGGATTTAGTCTCCTGTGATGATAGATTCTTAGACATTTTTTGGTAAGAGGGCTCAAACAAATTACTTGAGAAAAGGACAACTTGTGCAATCTACAACTTCCTGCTGTGTCCTAGAAGGGCAGACCCAAAGCAAGCCTTGGTAATTAACTGGTTGGTAAGAACTTGAGGTGGAGGCCGAGAGGGAAGGGAGGGGTGAGGAGGTGCCTGGGAAAGGCCAGAGGGTCGCAGAAGGAAGCCCGGAGCCCTCGGTAGGCATGCGGGTGGCCTCAGGGTGACACTAGCTAGTTCCGCTGTGGCACTAGTGAAAGACCAGACAGACAGATCAATGGAACAGAGGAGAGAGCCCAGAAATAGACCCACAAAAGTACAATCAACTGATATTTGACAAAGGAGTAAAAGCAACCCAATGGAGTAAACACAGTCTCTTCAACAAGAGTGCTGAAACAGCCGGACATCCACGTGCAAAAGATGAATCTAGACGCAGACCCCACATCCTTCACAAAAAATAACTCCAAACGGATCATAGAGCTCAGGTAAAATGTGAGACTATGAAACTCCCAGAAGGTAACAGGAGAAAATCTAGGCAATCTTGGGTGTCATGATGACTTTTTAGCCACAACACCAAAGGCACAATCCATAAAAGAAAGACTTGATAAGTCAGACTTCACTAAAAACAAAAACTTCTGCTCTGTGGAAGACAATACCAAGAGAACGAGAAGACAAGCCAGAGACTGGGAAAAACTGTTCACGAAACACACACTGGATAAAGGCCTGCTATCCAAAATGTGCAAAGAACTCTAAGAACTCGACAATGAGAAAACAGCCCAGTTAAAAAACTGGTGTGAGCCCGAACAGACACCTCGCCAAAGAAGACATACAGACGCAGTAAGCACGTGAAGCGACGCTCCACACGATGTGCCATCGGGGAAATGCGACGTGAAACAACAGCGAGATGCCGCTCCACGCCCATCAGAGCAGCCAAAATCCACAACGCTGCCAGCACTCAGCGCTGGCAAGGGGGTGGTGCAGCCACTTTGGAAGACAGTTTGGCAGTTTGTTACAAAACTAAACATACTCTTACCATATGATGTAGCAATCATGCCCCTTGGTATTTACCCAGATGAGCTGAAAACTTACGTCCAAGTGAAAATCTGCACATGGATGTTTACAGCAGCCTTATTCATAATTGCCAAAATTTGGAAGCAACCAAGATGTCGTTCAATAGGTGAATGTGTAAATAAACTGTGATGCATCCAAACTATGGAATATTACTCAACAATAGAAAGGAATGAAGGGTGAGGGGGGTTGGAAGGGACAGACTGGGAGTTCGAAATTCGTAGATACTGATAGGCATACGTAGAATAGACAAACAAGACTATACTGTATAGCACAGGGAACTATATACAAGATCTTGTGGTAGCTCACAGTGAAAAAAATGTGACAATGAATATATGTATGTTCATGTATAACTGAAAAATTGTGCTCTACACTGGAAATTGACACAACATTGTAAACTGACTATAACTCAATAAAAAAATGTTAAAAAAAAAAGAATGAGCTCTGAAGCCATGAAAAGACTTGCAGGAAGCTTAAATGCATATTAGTAAATGAAAAGACAATCTGAAAAGGTTACATAGCATATGATTACAACTATATGACACCCTAGAAAAGGCAAAACTGTTACCAAACTAGCTTCCTCCTGCCAAATGAGCAGCACTTCAAAACACTGAGGTGCTGAAGTTTGCAGCAGAGAGGGTTTGCTCTCCAGGTAGCTCTCAAGGTGAGAAGATGGGTGAACAAGTCTCAGGTCTCCCTCCCTGAAGCCAAGGGGCTCAGGGTACTTACGGGACAAAGAATAAAGCAGCAGGATGGTCTGAGGCATGGGGAGCGTGGGGAAAGGTGATTGGAAGATGTGCAGTAATCATCGCTCTGCACAGGTGTAACTAAGCTACAGGCCTCTGCATGTTCAAAAATGGAAGCACTTGGCATGATCTGAGAATGAAATTTTTGGCCCTCTCATGTCAAAAGGTCACGAAGTGGACAGTGGCACAGGCCCAGCTGGAGGGTCAGTGGTCCTATCCAGTCCTAACCAGCTCAGCCCAAACTATACACAGCTGACTCCAAGCTCCTGGAAAACAACTCAGACAAACAAACATCCTACTGTTTAGACTAAGTGCCCCCTGGAGGACACGGAA